ATCGGTAAAACAGTCCATGTGACATCAGTGGCTCAACTTCAATTTTGCGAAGCTACGAGAATACTTTTTGTGCGCAAAGAAAACAAAAATGACGACTTTATTCAACAATTCTTCTCCCCCAAGTTACTGTCTTCCGCCATTTTGGAGAGTATCACAACGCATACGCACGCTTTACCCTAAGTGTAAACAGCGTTGATTACGCCGATTACGTTCATGCGCGCGCTTTCCCCCCTAACATAAACAACGCCGATTACGTTCTTGGGTACTCTCCAAAATGGCAGAAGACGTAACTCGGGAGAGAAGAATAGTTAACTGGAAGGAAAGGCTGCAACATCGATGGATACATCCACCCAGCGGCAGAGTGTACAATATGTGCTTTAATCCTCCTCGCGTCCAGGTGAACATTTTAGTCTTTCAGCTAACAGAGAACATTCTCAGAACTTTGGCTAATGTTCTGGCAAGGTTCTCTCAAGGTTACAAAACATTCTTTCAGTAATGTTAACAGAATGTTTGTTCAGAGTTAGCACAAAAATGTTATTTATACATTGTTAATGTAACGTTTTTTTCCCGGAAATGTTTTAGTTGGATGTTTAAGTGACATTTTTTTTTATTTCAGAATATTCAGAGACCTTTCAAAAGTAACTTTCCCATAATGTTTGCAGAATGATAAAATGGAATGTGCTTCAGGTGAGTAATTAATGACAGAATTTTCATTTTGGGGTGAACTAACTCTTTAATGTTCATATATAACCAAGAAAAAACTTTTTTAAACATTTAGAGAAATTAAAACAATGTTAGCAAAACAATCTTAGAACATATTTTTGATAACTGGGTTTGTAGCAACATTAAAATAACTAAAGGTTAGTAGGTTATGAAGGAATAATGATGAATGATGAATCAGAAATACACTGGATACCCAGGTAACCTGCAACTGTTACCTTACAGAGCTATTTCTACCTGATTTGACTCTAAAAATAGTTTTGTTTGTATAAATTAATGTATTTTGGTAGATTTACCAATATTAAATAATACTTTTAACTGGAATAAAACCCGTTAATTTAGATGTTACCATTTTTAGTCACAATTTGTGTTAGTCTGGATGACTAACTAGGCAGTGTACTTACCATTGAACTAGGCAGTAGATTGAGACACAAATGTGTAGTGTAGTAACATAGTGAGACTGAAACTTAATTTTCTTCAAATGGAAAACACTAAATGCTTCTGTGAAGTAGAATTAAAATTTTCCATTTTGAATGACACTACCCTAATAAGATTCATCTACCTTCTTGCAGAGTTTAATTCCAGCGTTAAAGACCCCTGAAGCAGCTAATAAATGTCTTTGAAATTACTTCAAAATTACAACCAGGTGTTTTGAAGCAAGGTTGGATCTAAACTCTGGCCCTCTAGGAGTATGACTTGGTACACCCCTGTTGTACGGGTGAAAGTTTTCTAGCTATTACACTGCTAGCTGTGTCATCTCTTTCATGAGCACTTAAAGGAATAGTTGACCCAAAAATGAAAATTTGCTAACCTCAGGCCAACCAAGGTGAGTTTCTTCATGGGAAAAGATTTGGAGAAATTACATCACTTGCTCAACAATGGATTCTCTGCAGTGATTGGGTACTGTTGGAAAGAGAGTTCAAACAGCTGATAAAAACATCACAATAATTCACAAGTAATCCACGTCTCCAGTTCATTAATTAACGTCCATTGAAGCGAAAGGCTGCATGTGTGTAATAAAGAAATACATCATTAAGGTGTTTTTAACCTCCATTGCTTCGGGGCTAAAATAAAAATATAAGTACACCATCCATAATATTGCTTAAGTCATCTCTGAATCAGGAGAGAAATATGCACAGATCAAGCACCTTTAAGAAAGCGTTCTAAATAAATATGTTTGTGGGTGAGAGGACAACAGGGATGATTTTTTTTACAAGACGAAGCGTTATTATGGATTATGGACTGGTATTTTGGCCAGAAGCAACGGTTTAAAGTTAAATTAACTGTATAATAGACTTGTTTCTTACAAACATGCACTGCAGTTGAGTGGATTACTTGTGGGTTGCTGTGATGTTTGACTGTTTGAGCCCTCAGTCTGAAAGAGATTCTCTGCAGTGAAATGTCAATGCAGAGGATCCATTGGTGAGTAAATATGTAATGCTAAATTTCTCCAAATCTGTTCTGATGAAGAAGCAAACTCATCTACATCATGGATGGCCTGAGGGTGAGTTCAGCAGATTTTCAGTTTTGGATGAACTATTCCTTTAACTGCATCCTACTGACATAAAATAAAATAAAAATTATATATACTGTATATATATATATATATATTTATATCCACACCAACCCAAAAGAAGAACGGTGAGTTGAGATGGCATGCAAGAGCTCAAAAGAACCGCCTGATAGTTTTAAATCAGCAGTGTGGAAAAGTTTCGGGTTCTAGAGATGCACCGGTCAACCACCCATAAATCAGAACTCGGCTTTTAATTTTATTTTGGCTGATCTCTATTCCAGAATTGCACACAAAATGCATTGCAAATCATTTCCCAAAATGTAATTTGTGTGGAATTTTTATGAAGTCTGTAAAGAGGAGAAAACACTGTACCAGTCAGATCAAGCTACTGTTCGATGCTCGATATACTGTAGGAAGACAAATGTGGGGGTTTATATGAATGTATCTCTGAGAGGAACTGACCGTCTTCAGAAATGTATTTATGACATTTTCTTTTCCTCTTACCTCCATATAATGCATATTAAAGTAGTGTTTATAAGTGCAGCTGCTTTGTTTACAGCGGTAACCAAGGAAACTCTATATTGCTGCTGTCAGAGAATAAATTTACATTTTCATTCAGTTCATCTGCTGTTTTTGTTTTATATATATATATATTATATATATATATGTATGTGTGTGTGTGTGTGTGTGTGTGTTTGTCTATGCTTTTATTATTCTTATATCCCTTCTTCTTCTAGGTTGTGCTATGTATGAAAGTTTATATTGCTAGTGTTATTGCATCCATATGATAAATCGCTTGTTGTATTCCTCATTTGTAAATTGCTTTGTATAAAAGCATTTGCTAAATGAATATATGTACATAATCTTTCTATCAGTTTTGCTCATTTCTGGTGTGTTTACAGGGGAAAGATGACATCACAGGAGAGCCATTGATTCAACAGGAGGATGACAGACCAGAAGCCCTGGTGGCCAGACTGAGACACTACAAAGATGTTGCCAAACCTGTCACAGACTTTTATAAGTAAGCTCATAACACATTTATAGAAATTACCTCACATTTTGGAATGCAAACCAAATCTCACCCAGTGTCCTTGTAATTGTACTTCTATGAGTCATTTGAAAGAATGACAGAAAAGCTTGTTCTCTTTTGTTAAAAGTATTGTAATTCTGCTTACCTTTGAAGGGCGAAAAGCATCCTGTACACATTCTCGGACACAGAGACAGATCGGATCTGGCCGAATATCAGCACACTTCTCAGCACAAAGATCCCCACCATCCAATCAGATGCTCGTTGTGCTTCAACTCACTGAGGAAATCCACTGAAGTCTCATATCAAAGACACCGAAGTGGCCTCATCTCAGAGGAATTACTAATTGACCACATTTGGTTTCCAAAGATTCCATGCTAGTCATTTTAATTATCGCAACTTGTCCATTGGTAGTATAGTATTATTCTTCATAGTACTAGCTTTGATTATTTCTGTTTCTGAAAAGATTTTATATATTTGAAGGACTTGTTCTCCGCTTTTAGCATTTGCTGGAATCTGGGAATCAGTCGGTAAAATTCAACTTATATCTTACAAGTACAAAAGTTGTGAAAGAGAATTAATGATTCCTAGATTTCAACTCGGAGTGCACAAATTTATATAGATGCGATTAAATCACATTAGAATAATGAAGGGTAGACGCATGTGACCTTGTGTAAGTGAATGAGACACTGAACTGTTCAAGCATTCCAGTGAGATTTAGTTATTTCTGAAGGGGCTTTACTTGATATCATCTCTGTCTGTGGTGTTTGCCTTTCTTATATATATATATATATATATATATATCTCATAGTAGTGTTAATCATGCTACTACACACCATAAAAAAAAATGCTATAATTATTTTATGTGTTTTACAAGCTCTATAATCCAAATATGCCACATATGCCTTGGAGAAGTACAATTTCTTGATCTACTGAAATTGCTATTGTGAACACCAGGCCTTATTCTTTGAAATACATTGATAGAATGTTTACCTGTTAAAAATCAAACCAATGTATGAGTAACAATATAGCAAATGACAATATATAAGAATAATGTTCTTATTCTTTAAACACTGCTAGTTTTGGTAAATACTGTTCAGCATTACATTTTTAAGAGCCATATCTGGGAAAACTGTTGATAGAAAATAATCTAATGAGGTTTTTTTTTTTTATTGTACCCATTTAATAACTGTGACCAACAGTGATGTATTCTTTATCCAGAAGATTAAAGCACAGATTAATCAAAAGCCACAGATTAAATTACAATTACATTACACCGTTTGTCCCCAAAACATATAAGTGGAAGGAGTGTTAGGCACACATGACTTTTATAGTAGTCAGCCTATGTTTATTTCTCTCTGTTTAATTTTCTTTTATTCTTTCTTACTTCCCGTTCTCTCTCCCATGTTCTGTTTCAGTCTTACATACTTGTTTGCGTCTGCAATACGGAATGGAGAAAACACTTAAAATATCTCCACACCTTCTTGTTATGCAATACCATATACAAGAATTTACATGCCTGAGCTTTCCCTTTTTTTTCCAAAGAAAATAAACTTATTTTCACAGAAATGTTGAGTGTATTCTTTTGATTTGAATTGAATCTTCATCATTCATTTTCATATAAATTTGTCTTTGGACCTCCACAAGTGGTATAAATACACATAAAAACTTATTCACAGCACATAAAAACATAATAATAATAAACCACTAATGCCTGAGTTCAATTACTGAAATAAATGAACTTTTCCACGACATTCTAATTTATTGAGATGCACCTGTATTATATAAACTAATTGATAATGGAACTAATCTAAAAATATATTTGCAGCTACAATATTTTTTGATGATGATGATGATGATTATTATTATTATTATTAGCTTTCTGCGTAAAAGCAACGTGGCATCTGACCAGCTGTTAGGAAGGATGTCGTTTGGGGGTGGGATGCGCGTTGATGTGTAATAATGTTTACAAATCCTACTACGGCGAAGGCTTGCCTCATAAAATAATACGCTCCCAGAGCTATTGGACGTTCCAGGAAGTTTACCGAGGAACGTCACCCTCATCTAATTAATATTCACGAGCTCAGCTTCAGCCATAGCAGAGCCATAGTAGCACATACCACCTGCGTCTGTAGTCTGTGTCTGCATCACGGAAGTCCCGAAACGTATTGAAAGAGGGAGTCCAGTATGACACACAGCTAAAATTATCATCATCCCTCCCAAAAAAAAAATGTGTCAGGTCTGACTGCTTAATAGCCTGTCACTTAAAATAAAAGTACAACAAATCAGCGATAGATTTGACTCCAAATAAAAAAATCAGTTCCGTGATTTCCTAAATATGAACGGTCCCGTGCATGGTTTGTACAATTAGAATAATTAAACATTTGAGAAATAAAAATAATACATATATATGTTTAGTAATCTAGATCAAACTGACAGTCGGCTGTGGATTTGGCTTGTGGGTTTTGATTCGATGATGCTGAAGTAGCTCTACAATCATTGCTTCAAGTATCTGTTCGTGGGTTTATTCGAAACGCAGCACGATTCACTGGGACTTGCGCCAATCTGACCTTTGACAGCCAGCGAATGACAAATGAAAGGTCAGTGTTTCTGACATCAGCTGGGGCATCGGAGAATGACAGACAGTTCATCGAAAGGTATGAGGAAAACGCTGTTTATAAACCACTGAATGTGCTTATTATTAGTAGATGTAACGTTAGTCATACAGCATGGGATGAGACATCTTCGATATTACGTAGTGAATTGTTATTAATATATAAACCGTCGTGGCTGTCGTGATGTCACAATCAATCCCAAGGCTGGATTTTTATCCTTATCTACACTGCTAAATAAGTATTACGTTTTATATAGTGCTATATGTGTTTTGTTTAGTTGTGGTCTTCTTCATGTCAACATCGCTGCAACATAATATCGCATTTGGTAATTTTATATAACGATGGGCCTGTTTTAAGAAGCAATAACCTACATGAGTCACGACATGCAAAGCAGATCAGCTGATCGGATGCATTTCGAGACTGATGCATAGGAGGCGATGGTTTAATGATCATCGTCGCTTAGTATTATTATTTATTCTGATGAACCACGATTTCGACAGAAGATGAACGATGACCACACTGGAAAATCCAGATTTAAGATTGTAACGTTAGATGATTTGTAACATGGTAGATGGTTTTAAGCTGGTCTAAGATTTGCATATTAGCAGGTGCAAGCAGGTCATTTAGCTGTTTGGCCAACTACCATCGTCCAAAAGAAAAAAAGAAAAAAACCTTGAACATCTTAAGCTGTTATTATCTTTTATCTGTTATGATTGGTGTATTTGTTACTTATGTATGTATGCATTAATTAATTTATGTATGTATGCATGTAGCTAGCTAACTAGCATTTCCAAGATGCTACAAGAAGGTACCATCATGGAACAGCTGCTGACCGGTTTAGACCAGCTAATGATCATCTTAGAGACCAATCGGAAACCAGCTATATATTCTAAAACACAATTTTCCAACAGGGTAATATATATATATATATATATATATATAGCATTCTCTATTATTTTTCTAATCGTTTGACTTGTTTTATTTTTATTTATAAAAAAGAAAAGGGAAAAAAATACCCTCTAACACTTGCACTCTCTATTCTTTTTCTATTCTTACTACTTGTTTTCTATAAAAAAAATTTAAAAAAAGAGCATCTAACTAGCATTCGCTATTCTTTTTCTATTCTATCTTCTTGTTTTCTTTTTAATTATTATAAAAAAATGGCCCTCTAACACTAGCATTCTCTATTCTTTTTCTATTCTTTTGACTTGTTTATTTAACAAAACGACCCTCTAACACTAGTGTTCCCTATTCTTTTTCTATTCTATCTACTTGTTTTCTTTTTATTTAAACCTTGCTACGTGTACTGAGTTAGGCTAACCGAGACTTGTCACAGCACTTACATATTATTGCCGTTTTGTTGGTTTTGATTGCTTCTATTGTGCTTATTTGTAAGTCGCTTTGGATAAAAGCATCTGCTAAATGACTAAATGTAAATATAATGTACACACACACACACACATATATATATATGAACAAATAGATAGATAGATAGATAGACATCCAATATAAAATTGGATAGAATACATCTTTAAATATTGTATACAATATTGGCAAGGTATACTAATAAACACGTTCAGGGCAAATGAGAAAAATTCTGATAATTTACCTGGTGTTTGCTCGTTTGCTTTTATTCCGTACAATATTACTGTTAGTTTGATCTACTGATAAGCATTGCTTAAAATCCGCTTTTCATTCATTCTGGAAAATGCTAAATGGTTGTAAATGGCACAAAATTAAATTATCTCATCTGATCCATCTTTCTCTCTAGAGCTCTATGTTTAATGGGGAAAAAATCACTCAAGTTTGATCAATGACAAAGAAAGTGTTATGTTGTTTGATTGCTTTTAATGTGTAACCTATAATACGCACAAGGTCAGTTTATGATGGTTTAAAAGGTTAAGGGAAATCCCTTGCATCATAATGGAGCTGTGCAGATGGGTGCACTCCCTGCCTCTGTTGCCATGGAAGCAATATTGCATGTCCTCACAGTCTCGACTTTACATTAGAAGAATGCTTCTCATGACTGATGATTTCACATATTATTTGGCTGAATTTATCCAGTGTCAGTTGTAAGCCTATATTATTTTTTTTACCAACTGCAAAGAACTATTGGTTTAATCTATAAGGTTTCCTAAAGGGTTAATGCAACCTAAGTAACTATTAAGCAAGCCACTACAATTTAAGCTTTCATTATGTTAAAAATTAATCCAATCCCAGCCATGAATCCAAGTCCACTTCATTCAGCCAACATATTAACCAAGATACATTGTGGTCTAAGTGTCACCTGAATCACCTACAGTGCGTGAGGCGTGTTAGCTTTGTTAATAGTTTCATCATATTCTTTGTAGTCTTATACAGATGCCAGTTTGTGAATATGAAGACTGTCTTTTAAACATATTAAAATAAAAAGAGAAAAGAATGCTGAAAAGGAAAAAAAACATCAGTGCTTCTTGTTTATTTTCTCCGGTCCACTCTTGCTTTCTACACAGGTATAAACTACTAGATCTGGCTCTAGAGTAGTAGAGTGAGTTATTTTATTTTTTATTTTTTTGGAACGACACTTGTAACATTGTCAGTGACAGATTATCAGACATTTACAAGTTACAAGCCTTGAAAATGATCACAAGATGTGTTAAAAACAACCTTGTGTGAGTGTAATATTAACTCCTAGACAAGGCCAATGATTTTCTATGGAAGCCCATTTCTGCCAAGAGATAAAAAGAAAAAGAAAAAAAAAAGGTAATATGACTTTTTTTCTCAAAATTGCAAGATATAAACTCAGAATTCTCAGAATTTCTTGCAATTCAGAGTTTAAACTTCACATTTTTTATTTTTTTTCCCTCTTAATTCTGAGTTTACATCTCACAATTTTTTTCCGCAATTGAATAAAAAAATAAAAAAAGGTAAATATGACTTTTAAATCTCACAATTCTGACTTTTTCTCAGAATTGCAAGTTTATAAATTCACAATTCTGAGTTTATATCTCAAAATTCTATTCTAATTCTATCACATTTCTAAAAAAAATAGCCATATTGCAAGGAAAAGTAAAAAAAAAAATCCAAGTAAATTGTGAGATACAAACGAAGACAATCAGGGCTGTGTTTCTCGATAACGATTAATCTTAGCACTTAAGAGCATTTTCTACGAGTCATTTTACGATCGTTCGTTATTGTTTCACGTGCGTTTCCCAAAAATGCACTTAACACAATCGCACGTAGCTGTGCTTTAAGTGCTTCTTAGGAGTCGCTATCCGTTTGTCAGGTGCTGAAATGTCACCTTATAGAATGGCTCGTAATTGTAGTACACGCTCGTTTATTGAAATGTTAACCTAATGTTGCGTTCTAGACAACTCGGATATAATAACTATAATATTATATTATATTATATTATATTATATAGTGTATAATATTATACTTTACATAATAATATATAATATACTTTATATATATATATATATATAGAGAGAGAGAGAGAGAGAGAGAGAGAGTGCTGGTTTTCGTGCACATCAGCAAGTCATTGACAGATTTGTTTTCACCAGTCTTTGAAGCATATTTCCTACATTACTTCTTTTATTCTTTTTTTTTTTGTTCAGTCATTTAATTTAGATGTGTATTTCTATTTTTCTGCCCTTTTTAATTATTTCATATATAAATTAATTTTAAAAAACCGAGTAATAAAGTGTACAATAAAGTACAATCAAATCCTTATATTATAATCACATTGCACTTGAATAAACTTAAAGGTGTAATCTGCCGATTGTCCTGCAGGTGACCGCATAAATCTGTCTTCTTACGATGCACTTAGGGCTTTACGATTACTCCAGAGCACTCGTAGATCTATTGTGATTTTCAAGTGCTACTTAAATTACGATGCTTTTGGGAAACAGACCGTAATATTAAGATCAGTCATACGATCGTTTTTGCGAACTTCTTAGGCTTACGAAGCTTTTG